TTAATAAGTGAAACCAGAGAGTCAATGTGTTTGAGTCTGCTTTAGTCAACAGTTTTTTGTCTCTAAGACCAAAATACCTGACAAGAACAACTTAGAGGAGGAAAAGTTTATTTGGAGCTCATGGTTTCTGAGGTCTCAGTCCATACATGGCTGACTCCATTGCTCTGGGTCCAAGGAAAGGCAGTACCCAAGAAAGGGCCCAAAGAAGAAGGATGCTCAAATCATGGTGGCCAGGAAGCAGAGAAGAGGGGAGGGGGCCACAAGGAAGATGCACATTTCTGGTGCATTCCCCCAGTGACTCACCTCCTTCAGCCATGCCTCACCAGTCTACAATTACTCTCAAGTCAGTCCATTCAAACTAGGATGGATTGATTAGTTACATCTCTCATAATCCAAATTTTATCTCTAAATATTCCTGCATTAACAGGAGCTTCTGGGAGGATAACTCACATCCAAATCATAACATCCTGACACATATCGTCCCATGATTCAAATATGTGCTTCCAGACATTAAAACTGTTCTGCACAAATGTGGTTATCAGCATTAGCTGTATGATGCCATTTTATTTAGAACACTGTTTTTTTGTAATTATTATGTGAATTTATTGTATATTCTTTTGAAGAGCCTCAAATTTTCAATGGAAAATCTTTGTCCTTTGAGGGTGGATTTGATTTTTAGAAATGGCCAAATCCTTTGACAAATATGGTAAGTGACCCAGCCAGTTAACTCTACTTGAGGTTAAAATAAATGTAATTATTAAATAAAGATAGTAACGTCTTATATAGTATCTACACATTAGTACCTCAAACATACCTGTCTTAAGACCTTTGAATTTCCTGAAATCTTTTTATAGCATACTATTTTTTCACTCATAGAAGAATTAACGGTAATTTCAAAAAGGTCTTCTCTTGAATACCCTAATGCAGATTGATCTGGCTCAACACCCATATTTGTCCACATAAGGGTTTTGTCTATTTCTTTAATAAGTTATTATCATTTACTATTATTTTTTTGTACCAAATATTGAATTCAGGGACACTTAACCACTAGGTCATATTCCCAGTCCTTTTTTGCATTTTATTTAGAGACAGGTCTTGCTGATTTGCCAAAGGCCTTGCTAAGTTGCTAAGACTGGCTCTGAACTCGAGATCCTCCTGCCTCAGCCTCCCAAGTTGCTAGGAATACAGGTGTGTGCCACCACAGCCAGTAATTGTTGTTACTGTTTATCTCTCCTTCTGGATCTGTGCTGTCCAATATAGCAACCGTTAAAAAATGGTTATTTAAATTTAAATTAATTACAATTATATAAAATTAAAGGAAAAAAATTAACAAATTAGGTACCACTAAAATGAAAGAAATTCTTTTCTTTGGAAGATGCTATTTGGAGACTGAAAGACAAGTCACAGACAGAGAAAACATTTTACAAATCTCATATATGACAAAGGATTTGAAACCAGAATATATCAATTACTCTCAAAACTCAATAATAAAGCTAACAGCAATTAAAACTGAGCAAAATATTAAAATAAACACTCAACCAAAGATAACATATGGCTCAAGATAAGCACATGAAAGATGCTCAAAATCATAGTTATTAAGGAAACACAAATCAAAACCACTGAATACTAATTTACACCCCACTAGTACAACTATAAATAAAAACATAGATGATAACAAGTGTGGGGAAAATGTGGAAAAATTGAACTCCAAAACACTACTCATGAGACTGTGAAATCACTTTGGGGGAAAAAAAAAAAAAAACCTTAACACTGTCTTAGAAGTTAAGTATATACCTAAAAAATGACCCAGTAATTTTATACTAAGTGTTTACCTCAAACAAAATCAAAGTTCCATGTAGATTCGTACATGAACATTCACATTGTAACAGTCAAAAACTGGAAATAATGCAAATGATAAATGATAAATAACTAAACACACTTTGGTCTACAGGTTGAATATCTCTATTTTAAAAATCTGAAATCCAAAATGCTCTAAAATCGGAAACTTTTTGAGCACTGATATTAAGCTACAAGTGCAAAGTTCCAGGCTAACCCTCATGTAACAGACTGCAATCAAACCACAGGTGCACTAAAATTATTGTACAAAATTAACTGCGAGCTATGCATATAAACTACACAAAACATAAATGAATTTCATGTTGAGATTTGAGTGCCTTCTCTGAGATATCTCATTATGCATTCTAGGCACTGAGAAGAGAGCCTAAAACAATATAAATAATGTGTCCATCCTAAAGGTTTTCAAAATCTGGTGAGGGGTGCAGGTAACAGATGAGAAAGCAAATAAGAAAATACCAGGCAAAGTGTAATGCTAATGAAGATAAAGCTGAAGGTACAGAGTATGACCAAAGGCAACTTTCTTTTAGATAATCAGAACAGGCCTCTGGGAAACCTAAGATCTAAACATTAAGAGTAAACAACATAAAGACCTGAGGCAGGTACAGAAGAAATAGCAAGGCCTTAAAAATAGGCATGAATGTGATAGCTTTACCTTTGAAAAAGAAGACCCACTTGGTGGAAGAATACACAAATAAGGGAAAGGGGGAAGGCAGGTAAGTGGGAGAAGCAGATGCGGCCAAGAAAAGATTTTAATTATAAAAGTGATGGAAAACCACTTCAGGATTTTAAGCAGGTGAGCAACATGATAAATTCACATTTAAAAAAAAAATATCATTTGGTACTGCTAAATGAAGACTGGATTATGGAAGGACAAGAAAGGTGTTAAGACAATGAGTTTCTGCAAAGGTACAAGTGAGAGATGAAGCAGAAATTCAAGATACATTTCCAGTGACAGTAGCTTTTCTGATGGAGGTTGTTGCAGAGTAAGGAAATGAGTTGAAAATGAATCCTAGATTTTTGGCCTGAACAACTGGGACACAATGCTTTGAATTACAGATACGGGAAAAAATTACAAACAATAAGTGCTAGCATTTAAATAGACCCTTAAGTAGACACTTATATGTCATCATTTACTCATTTCATATTTATTTTTTCCAGCAAACTTGGAGAAGTAGGCACTGGCTTGGTAATATATCAACCCATTATGTTTTATAATGAAGGACACCATCTTGGAGACAGGAGACTATTCTGAGTAAAAGGAACATGGGAAAAAAGGGCAAAGCAACCCTTCATTGACTGGACAAGTACTACTTCACAAATGATGAAGCTACTTTTAATGCTTGCTCCCTTTACCAGCATGATTAGCTAACCTTGATTAAAAAAAAGAAAGAAAATTGTTCAGGAATATAAATCGGATTTTTTTCCAATTCCTTAAGTTTACAAAAATAAACAATGCTTTAAAATCTATATCAATTACTGAACGTTCATTTACCTTCCTAAATGTGCTGCTAACTTGGTAAATTCACACGTGTTTATTTAGATAGAGTTGATCACATACATCCTCCCTCCATTTCTAAAGAGGAAAAAACGACAAGGACAAACGGCAGTCTCAATACATCAAAGGCTGAGCCGGCACTAAAGCCCATACATCAAGTTCACAGACACCCCTAGATTGCTCTGCGACATGGTCAAGGTCCTTGGGAGCTCACATACACGTCTATACCTGATGCACCCATCTCCCTTCTCTTCAACTGACCTCTGGACAACCCACCATCCCGATGGGAAGATTTATGAAAGGCCATAAAATCTGGACAAGCAGGGAGCCTATGTAACGTGTAACCCCTTCCCGAGTCTCTAGTTATAGCAGCAACGCAATGCCTTAACATTTTTATTAAGAGCTAGATGATCCCTCTAATCGCAACTTGTTTCCAGAAACGCTGCAAAGGCACCACCATGACAAGGAACGAAAATGGCCAAATATCCGAAGGTCTTGGGCTGCAGAAGGGGGAAGCAGATATCACTAAAAACACCCAAAACAACTCCAGAGAAAGACTAAGCCGCAGCCAGCAGCTCGTTGCCCACGTGCACTTGCTCAGCTAACTGTTCCAAAGAAACCTGACCCGGGTCGGAATCCTCCCACCTCTGCGTGCCGCCTTTATGGCAAGGCAACGCTACAAGTTGTTACCCGCAACCCTTCTCCCACCTTTGAAAGAAACGCGCGCTGATCCCACATTCACACGACACCCCGTCCCTCTCCTGCCTGGCCGGCCCCAACCGCGCGCTGGGAGCTCAGGTCGCAGGCCCGCGCCTCCGCCTTCCACCACAGCCCACCGGGCTCGCACCCAGCCCGGCTCTAGGCTGGGCCAAATTTCCTCGCCCGTAGCTTGGACTGTTAGCATCCTACATCTGCACCTCCAACTCTGACCACCACCCTGGAGCCGGGTATCGCCGAGACCTTGGCGCCCGGCGTGGGAGCATACCCTTCCCCGCTCCGCCGCGCCAGGTGAGGGGCCGAGCCCGCAGCCCCGCAGCCCCGCAGCCGCCAACCTTCCTAATCGCCGGCTGTGGCGCCCGGGCAGGCGCCACCGGCCCTGATGACATCAGAGCTGACCCCGCCAAGGCCACCTCGGTGATCCGGTGCCCAGCCCCCGGAGGGAAAGGCGACCCCCAATCCGAGTCGGCGCTCGGGAACCGAGGGAGATGCTGGGCTGCGGTTCCGGCGGCGGATGAAGACGGGGAGGGGGGGGGGGGGCTGCGGTCCGCTGCGAAGGGAATCAAGACTCTAGATACCGCGAACAGGGGGCTTCGCGGATAACTGGGGGGGGGGGGGGGGGGGGGGGGGGG